AGCCACCAGTCTGCCAGGTCCCAGCACAAGATCTCGAGACTCAGCTGAGGAAACTTGCAGATGGCCTCCTCTCTGGCAGGTACTCTCGACCAGATCCCCGTGTTGTTGTATCTGCTGCCGCGTCAGAAGTCCCCTCTTCTTCATCTCATCAAAAAGGGTTGATGCCAGCGATGTTCAAGTACTTGATTGGGCAAGGCCACCCGGAGTTTGCCACAATGAGGCAACAAGATGCATTTGAATTTTTATTGCATCTTTTTAAATCCGTCAGCCTTTCGAAGCACACTGATGACTTGGTCAACCCTGTGGAAAACTTCCGCTTTGAGATTGAGCAGCGCCTGCAATGCCTTGAATGTAAGAAGGTTCGTTACAAAGTGGATGAACAGGACAATATTTCCGTTGCAGTGCCCGCTCGCCGCATCGCAGGCGAACAGGATCAGTTCGAATCAGTGACATTGTCTGAGTGCTTGGACATCTTCACTGCGGAGGAAGTCGTTGAACTTAGTTGCCCAGCATGCGAGAGTCAAGCCGGGTTTTCCAAGCGGTCCACATTCAAGACTCTACCTCAAGAGCTTGCCATCAATGCCCGTCGCTTTGAACTGGTCAAGTGGGTACCAACAAAGTTAGATATCCCTGTTATCGTCGGCGATGAACCAATTGACTTTGGTCAATACCTGACCGGCGCGCACGACCCAAATGAAGAACTTCTTCCGGAGGATAAAGAAAGCGCAAAGTTTGTACCCAACCCGGAGGTTCTTGATCAACTATTGGGTATGGGTTTCCCGACAGCTCGGTGTGAAAAGGCTCTCCATGCAACTGGCAATTCCGATGCAGAGGCTGCTATGAATTGGCTCTTTGCCCACATGGAGGATCCAGATATCGATGAACCCCTCGTGCTGGATCAAAGTGCTGGCGGGGCCAAGGCCGTGGAGCAGGATGAGTCCAAAATTGCCCAGTTAGGTGAGATGGGGATTGATGCCTCTCGTGCTCGGCGGGCTCTCGCTGCCACTAATGGCGATGTCAATCGGGCTGTGGATTGGGTGTTTACCCATCCCGATGATGGTGACGAGGAGATGGAAAGTGATAACGACGGTCCCGCTCGAACTCACCAAGGCCCGTTCGGATACGATACCTTGCCCGCCCGGTATCAACTACAGTCTATTGTCTGTCACAAAGGCTCCTCTGTTCACGCAGGGTAAGTTTCTCTTCCCTTGTCACTCGAGGTAAATTTTGCAATCTAACATGCTACAGTCATTATGTTGCCTTCATCCGCAAGTCTTTGGCGGGCGAGGACTCTCCGTCTTGGGTACTCTTCAATGACGAAAAAGTCGTCGAGTGTGAGAAGATTGATGATATGAAGAAGACTGCCTATCTGTATTTCTTGACTCGCGTCTAGGCAGTCTTTGGACCATCTTTAATCCGTATTCATACTCCATGGCCTTTTACGCATTTCTACAGAGACGAATATCCCGCGATTGACATATTCATAGGTCAAAATTCTCACTTAGCTCCGTCCATCTAGAAAGTTGACGACGTGTCGTATGAGACTAGAGTGACATTTTCACAATTCAATAGAAAATAAACATGACTCGGACGATTGATATCGAGTTCAACAATATCAAGAAAGAAACCGATATTTTGATAGGGCAAGGCACCAGAATCTAAATAGAGCCTCGGCATCTAGATCAATTCAAAGATTTACTCTGCCCTGATTCGTACAAGGACGATGTATGAACCCCTGTGCGCAAGAGAGCTTCAGCAGTATAACGCAAATATGAAATTTAAATAATTGGCCTCAGTCCGACGTATCTGCCTACCTGAGTTCGATCCAGAAGAACTGTTCAGCCTTATCAAGAGGCTTTGTGAGGTCGACGGTTCTAAGTGGCATCCAAACGGCCGCCATAGCGAGATTCTTTATATCCGTCCGACTCGAATCGAATCTGATTTGAGCCTGGGCTTACAGGTACCCAGTGAGGCGTTATTGGTAATCCTGGTGTCATATTGGCCGGCTCCTACCAGTCCATCTAAGGGCCTTCACCTACTATGCAGCGGCGAAGATGCAGTTCGTTTATCGCCATGTGGTACTGGATTTGCTAAGATTGGCGGCAACTTCATGTAGCCTATCGTGCATGTCCTATATGGGAAGGTTGAGATAACAATTCCCTAAGAGAGTATTCCCCATGTGTTAATATTGCGATAAAAGATATCAGTTTTCGTCACGTGAAAAACATATGGACATACGAGTTTACGTATAAGTCGCTATAATGATGAAGAATTTCTGTATATTGAGTTCCAGAGCCCATGTCCCGCACAACTTATACCGCGGATAGGAGAGGCCTATTCCACACTCAGGGTCCGTGGCATCAGGCTCATGCAACATGTCAGATTGTGAATCGTGCTGCTGCCTGAAGGAAGCGATCCACTCCGGACTGACTGCGATCGTTTGATTACATGAATCTTCGGGGTCGGATGATAGACGCTTCGCTTGGTCTTGGAACATTTCATCGGTTGAAACAACACCTGAAAGCATCAATTGCCGTGCATACTGGCCGAGATGTCAATTCAAAGGCTCCATAAACGTGCTCAATGCCTTTTCATCGGTCGCCTGAAGATGTTGAAACGAATATGCTAGCTGAGCCTCGTCTTCTACCGCTTTCGCTCGTCGCGAGATCTGAGCAAAATGATCTTGAAGGCTAGCATTTGCCGCTGAGAAAGGCACCACGTTATTGATTCTGATGAAATAAGATAGGGAGGTAGGAAATTGGTGAGCATTCCGGCGATGGATGGCGGGAAATCGTGATCTCCCCGCCACTTCTTCATCGTCAGACCTTCACGGAAGTGTGCTGCTAGATTTTTGATGCTGTACAAGACGATGCTTCTGTCGAATTGTTCGAGAGTGTTGCGTATGATTGTGCTGGGCGAGGTGTTGAGGGGATGGGTCTAGACAAGAACAAAATGCACACTGTCTCCTTCCGGTGCTCGAGGAGACAAGCGACCCTCCACCAGGGGCGCATACCCAACCCCTTAGGTTTAATTAAAGAGCTCTCAGCTGCCGGGTTCATTTTCGGGCGGGGATTCGTGCCATCGTGGCAAGGGGTCAAAAGGAGGTGTATGGATGCGGGTAGGCCTTGCGACCGTCTTTCGCCCAGATGTCTTGATAGTCAGATACTGCCGCATGTTGAGCGGCGAAAGAGCTATAGGTATCTGGATCCTCGGGAGAAGAAGCTCTCAATATTGAGACCAAACCCACCGATCCTACCCTTTGGAGTATGGTGAGCTGTCTGACCGGTCAAAATCTAAAGTATATCACATATATTGAAGCACCTTCAAAGTCTTCGGAGCCGGAAGGCTGGGTGGAATCGCGCATGGAGGAGTCAGAACTCCTCGTCCTTGAGAAATATGATGTTTACTCGTCAATGCCCAAATTCGGTACTTGTGCCCGATCCTCCAATCTAGAATATTTCGGTGGAAAGTTTGGCAACAAAGTGCACGCGGGGAAGGCAGCGGTCCCTTTCGCTGATGTTATCAGGGGTCGTGTGACTCGAACGAGGAGAAGCCAAGCCCCATATAACTATGAAAGTTTCCCGTAGCGTTCAATAAAATGTACTTGTATGATGGTTATTTTAGGGTTGAGTTGAAATCAATATTTGAAACTAAGAGTAGAGTGTAGATCTAGAGAGGATGAGGATGTATTCGGGTAATTACGATTATCCTCTTCGAGTCTTCGTATCTATCTATCTATCTATTCATCTATCTCCACCCCCTGCCGTGTTAATCAAACGCCCGGACAACGTAATTCCCGGCCGTCTCGTAAATCTCAAACACCATAGTAAATGCGTTTCAAATTATGATATTCCAACCCATAGGGGCTTGTTTGGGTTTATAACTAGTTATTTAGTGAGTTAGTTAAGACTTTCAAGTGATTAATATGTTACCCTCAGCATAACTTATTCATCCAGTCCAAAAATGTTTTGAGGTTAGATAATATAGATATATAATCATGCATCGCCTTGTTGGAAAATATATTTTGGGTAATATAAGCCAATAAATATTGGCTCTATTTATTGATAGATCTTTACTATTTTATATGATATTGGGGACTATGCTACCGAGAATCTGGTAATATTATGTTCTCATGGTTGAAATATAGCAACCTGAAATATCGCATTTACTATGATGTTTTACGGGACCACCGGTGTACGTGACGGCCGGGAAATACGTTACTGCGAGATAGCTTACGCCAGATTTATATTAGCCAACTGTGGCACCCCACCGCCTTACTCATTTGGTATGACCTAGAACCAGCCTCCGAGGCATGTCATACGTGAGAGTCGAAGAGGAGATATCTAGGACGGCTAATTGTGAGGGTCGAAGAGGAGATATCTAGGACGGCTAATTGTGAGGGCATTTGGCCGGACACTCGCCGACAGATCAATCGGCTCTCCCGTCGGGTTTTATAATTGGTAGAAAAGACCAGCCTTCTAGCCTTGACTGTTGACTACGTTTAGGAGATCCCAAGTCATAGGAGCAGATTGGTAAATTCAGTGCTCTCACTACGAAGAATGCAAGTCGCCATATTGCAAAGACGAAGGAAAAAAGAGCTTTGGGCCAGCCCGAAGACGATAGTGATTTCAACACCTACTTCGGCTGCGGGGGAGGCTGAAATTGCAGGCATACCAATCACACTTGGATGTTAGTTCAATAGTAGCTTCTTCGTAAAGGTGAAAGGTACAATAAATTTGAATAGCTTCAATATTTGCGTTGGGCTATAAAATTTACGCTGGGTAATGGGGGACTAACGCCACTAACGCCCGGAGCGGTGTAGTGGGTACGCCACGGAATCAATATTCTACCTTCAGAAGTAAGACAATATATTAAGGCTGGCCCCGTTCTATTATGGCCCTTTACCATTGGTCAAATACCCAATACCGGTCAATACCCTAAACCGGTCTAGAACCAACACCACTCTTGTATACGATTCAAACGTAGGCGTCCGTGCGTGCCACGCATCTAGCCTCTGCAAACTAGTGCCATCGGTCAACTCGATTAAGCAAATTGATAAACATCCTCTAATAATAAGATTATATCGTACTCTTCTATCCGATTTCACTCCAGTTCGACACAAGCCAAGAATAACAGAATGCAACATAGTTACGACACATGCCTCCCTTGATTCTGTTTGATGTGAAAGAGCATTGTTTACACGCTCCAGGCAGAATACTTTCGAATGAACATGACCTAGACTAGGAAGAGCGCAAAAGCAGCACCTAGTAGGGCCATGACTCCCTTAGGGGCGCTGACCTGAGACGGCGCAGCACCGCTTGAGGTCGCAGCGGAGACGGAGGCACTGGTGGATGAAGTATCCGAAGAGGAGGAAGATGTGGTCGTGGACGAAGAGGAAGAGGAGGTGGTGGAGCCTGCGATGAAATGGTGTATTAGTATAATCGCGTTTAACATTATGTGGAGTTGCATCATGCCTGAGGAAGACAAAGGAGTAGTCGACGACTTGGGCGTTGAAGACGCCGAGGATGTAAGGGTGGAGGTGACGGATGTGGAAGTGGTCGTACTGGATGCCTTGGAAGAAGAAGTAGAGGAGGAGGAGGAAGAAGAAGAAGAAGTGGTGGTAATGGTGGTAGAAGAAGACGAGGATGTTGTACCATCATCCGAAGCGCCCGTCTTGACAGTAAAAACGTCACTGATGGCGAGCTGGCCAGCAGAATCAATTATCTGAATCTCGTAATCATTTCTAGTATGTGACAGAATATTATTAGTGCTGTTCTTGTTTTATCATCCACTCCATATTCTACATACCCGTTGGAAATGCTAGGGTTAGGCTGGGTCGTGTATTCTCCGTCAGAGGTCTTGACGTTATCCGCCAATTTGGTCTGGAAGGAGCCATCCTGACTTCGGAGGATGATGCTGATTACCGAAGGGTCACTAGAATCGCTGGTGAACTTGATAGTTTTCGCAGTAGAAAAGTCCCACACCGTGTTTGATGACGGGGTGGTGACGGTGATGGCAAAGGCCGACGAGAGGAGGCCCAGGACGTGGATGGTGAACGAGAAGCGCATTTTGATTGATTTGAAGTGTTTAACCGCTGGTAATTGAACTGAAAAGACGTTTAACAATTGAACAGAGAAAGACATCTAATTATCTTCAAGGAGAAGACTAATATATATTTCGTCGATAGACCGGGAAATAGATTGATGAAAACCTACCTACAGAAATCGGCACCTTCCGGCCAAGGCTGAGCCCATTAGGAATACGAGATAATCCAAGCCTTGCACGGAAGCAAAATATGATCTCTAACGTGAGCTGAGTCTCGCATGGAGAGCCTGAAAGTCTTAGGGGTCATTCTGGTGCCCACGTAGAGTTCGCACTGCGCCTCTGCATCAGCGACCCGCCCCGCTGCGCTGGGCCCATCAAAGTGAGCATTGCATTGCACCTTATCTTTCCAATCAAGTTCCCCAAACAAACTGTAACCTGCAGTTTTCACAAATAGATGATCAAATTTCTAAGCAAGGGCTATATCATGTAAGCGCTAGGTGAGCGTTGAGAAAGGCAGTAAATATGGAGCACAGTGTACATATGCCGATATTGCGCCATTATTGAGAATGGCATAATTTGAAATCTATTAATATTATATTGTATCGTTTCTTACAGCCATGAATAAATACCGGTCATGACTAGTAAAATTCACCAGATAAGCTAGATCTTTATACCGTTCTTACTATATTATACCTAATAGTCAAAAGTGACTGTCGGAATTTTGCTCGAGGACCGCAGCTGAAGTTCCCAGTAATCAAATTATCTCCTAATTTCTGCGCTAATTCATAAGACAAAAAAAGGCGCCCAGTAGAATCAAAACACGGAGTATCTGGTCTATCTATAGTAAAGCTACTCAAAAAACTCTCGCAAAAGATCAAAACGAAACCGAAAAAACTCAAATGGAGGAAGTGGCGGTCTAGAGTATTAGAGGGAGACAGATGTAGGACGTGGTCAATGCAGCCGTAACCATCAATGTCCTCAAATTCCAAGACAAATTGAATAAAGAAGTCCCAGCGCTGGTGGAAGAACTGGGACTTGCCGAGGAGCTTGTCGATGTCTGGGTATGATCTCCACAAATGCTGGTGCTTCGGTTCAGACTTTCAGTGGGATAGTACACCCGCGGCCCGCCATCGGAGCTGAGGTCGACTTTGAGATTTCCGCTTGAGTCGGTCACAAATGTTTTGCAAGATAAGATCTCGGTCACATTTTGTCCGCCTGAAAATCCTGTACCGTCGGAGCTGAGCGTGATTTTGGTGCTGGCTTTGCTGGCTGGCTTGGCTCCCAGGTTGGATACGACGCTCACAACCTGGTTACCGGGAAATCCCTTACGCATGGCTAAGATGTTTGTTGAGTTGTAGATCGGCAATGAGAGGTACGACAGATAGTTGCTGCCTGACTTCGGGGCGACCGTGTACTTTTCTCCGTCGCCGCTCGCATATGATCGAATTCGATTCAACGATTGGACCAGTAAAGGTAGCGAGGTTGAATCCATCGAGTACTTGGTGAGCCATAGGGCCTCCCGGTTGACAGGGTTGAATCCGCCGGAAAGGTGCTGTTCTTCACCGTAGTAGACTGTAATTGGTTTATTAGTGTCTTTGGCTTCCGTTTCCATTGAGGGGGCGCAGCCTACGGATGGGTATACCGTCAGCGAGCATGCTGATCGTGAGAATATTGCGAGCCAACTAAGCAGGAGTGACAAAGTCAATAGGGCGCTGACAGATTAACAAATGCGCTCACTCAGCTTACCGATATGTCCGAAGTATACGAGCCAAAGCGAGGGACATCCTGATTCGAGGTGAAAGTTCCTAGGGCTGTTACGTCCTCGCATTGTGTCCTCACGTAGTCAATAGAATGTACGATCCTATTTAGGTCTCCGCTGGTCGTGTTGAAGGCCTCCGAGAGGATATAATACCTAGAAAGTGTCAACAAGGCCCGGTATTTAGTTGCTTGAGCCACTCACAACGGATAATTCAACAGTCCGTCTAGACTGGGCTGTAGAGGGCAGTAACCGGATGCGTCTCTTGTGGCGCCTTCGCCCATAGTGAAAACACCCGCTGACTTGCTGAAATTGGAGAAGAAGACGGGTGGAATGTTCAGGACACTGTCGATTCGCAAGCCATCAACTGCAGTGAATCACTGTTAGTAAAACCGTTGGAGAGATTGACGTATAGACTAACTGGAGTAGTTTGAAACCAACTGCGAAACCCAGGTGCCCAGAATCTGCTGGACTTCCCGATCCTCATTTCGCAAATCCGGAAGTGATATGGTGTTGTCGCCCATCCAACACTATTGAAGGCTTAGCAATAGTCTCATAACACGCAATGGCAGACATACATCCAGAACACAGGTTTCATTTGCGGAATCCTCAGAAAGTAGCTTGTAGTCGTGGAAATACTTCTGATCATTGAAAGGGTTGAACGTGCTGTAGTCGATGGTAGAGGCATTTCCAGCCCAGGCCATATCACCAACGACAATGTCCAGCATCAAGTACTTATTCTCATGTCAGTCTCGTGAGTAGACAACGGGCAGCCTTTGGACTCACCATGCCACGCGCGTGCAACGCTGTGGATAATGCCTGGAGGTCATCGGAGGTGCCAAAATGGGAATTGATGGTATACAGGTCGTTCGGCCAGTACCCATGGTATGCTACCATCCGTCAGTTGTTTAGTTCTCTATGTCCACTCGACAGTCATGATGGCTATCCCTACCCGAGAGATCTGCCGTGCGAGTTGACTCCTGGCTTTGCACTGGAGAGATCCAAATTGCATCGAACCCGAGTTCCTGGATATAATCCAGCTTATTGATGATACCCCGTAAGCTCCCACCACAATATTCTCCCAGTCCTGTGTCACAAGGAGCGGTGGTTGAGTTATCGGACCGAGCGAAGCGATCGGTGACCACTTGGTAGACCGACCGACCGAGCCATTGATCTCGGGAAGCCGCATATACTGTCCTAATGGCCGTGGCAACGATCAAAACCTTCCACCACCACCACATTGTCGGTGGCGTTTGCAGGTCAGGTCGGAGAAGTATCAAATGACGGATGGAGCCAGAGACCACGAAAAGGAAGCCTTACTTAAATTGAATGAAAATGTCATAATAACCATGTCCGTCGAAATATGATAGCGAAATGATAAACGGCAAGGGACGTGTCGTATAGTAACATACGCGTAATATACATACATTCATATGATTTACAGTACTGTACTTTACCTCTCTTCATACAGTACACATATTCATGATCTGTCATGTACCGTATTCTGATCTGTCGGCCCGATCGGGAGGCTCCGCTGATCCTTATCGATCCCGTCCCGCGTCGAATCATCCCAAAAATCGAGGGCCCTGATAGCTTCCAACGGCAGCCGGGCGGGCCCCGGTGGATTCGGGAGTGACTTGTCCAACTCTCGGGCCCCCACTAGTCTGGTCAGACCCGATAGTTGATGATCATGGTCCATGTTATTTTAATTTGCTGGCCTCGGCGTGATGCAGCCGCATGGTTGATGAAATCTGGCCCAATTTCTTGGGAGAGGATTTGCATCACGTCAGCGTTGGGCTATTGACAATAGTTCTTTTTCCCTGTACACTGTACTCCTCCTATCACTTTAGGATAATACATACATGATTATACTTGATTCCCCGCGACAAGAAATCTCGATCGGGTCCACATAGGGTTCCAGGTATGACAGCTGAGATGAGTGCAATTGTGGGTCAGGGAGGTACCGTTGGGGTCAGATAAGGAGAAGTTTCAGCCTTTTCGCTGACTGTTTGATCTAGCCCTCAACGAATTGGGTTGACGGTGTACAATTAGCAGGTTCAGCCAAGCCCAGGTCAAGCAGAGAGTGCATAAATGGCTGATCATCAGCCACGGCCATGGTGCAGCCCTGGCAGCAGGGACGGAGTGGCCGCGAACAGAAGCAAAGAAAAAGAAAAGAAAAAAACAATAGAGGGAAGGAAGGAGACGCACATGCCCCTTCTCACCATACCCATATCAGTCTCTCAGCGTTTCTTATAGGTCGATTCTTTATCAAGCATGACGTGTTCTATCTTCAGTTAGGCGGGATACCCAGTCTGGCATTATTTACACTTTATGACCGATGATATGTGTACTTCCCGCATGAGTCGTCTTGAATACTCGTATAGCTTTGCAAGAAACACGTAGGAATCATTTTCCACTATGTCAGCAAGCTATCGAGCCAAGACCCACTTCGTATATTGGGTTCAGCCTTGTACATACAGTAGACCACTCCAAAGATCCTATACCGATGTATGTCAGATTGTCTCCCTATCTACGAGACATGGTACTTCCAGCTTGGGCCCATGCCCTGGTCTAGATGCCCGAACGATAGCCACCGAATATGCCGCGATTCAGCTCGAGACCCACCCTCCGAAATTAGAATCATTCAACCGCTTTACGTGAGCATGGTGACGCTTTGCTTTGAATTGAGGCTGTACAGCAAGGCTGGCTCTGGTCTCCAGCGGCTGGTCTGATTCCTGCACCTATGCTGAATTACAAAACAGTGATTGGTATTCTCGTGCTCAAAATTTCATTATTGCATTGGCCTGCGCAGCTCGGGAGTATTCATTATTTTTCACATGCTTCTCTTGCGCATCTGCACTCTATGAACCCTTCAGTGTCTTTTTGCCTATCAGTTATCCTTCTCTACCTGGTATGCACTTCGTGGTTGTATTTTTCCAACAGTCGAGGCTCGAACAGCGTCTTCTGTGATCGTCACCATATTGGCATTCACTGTGCGGAATGGAGTTACTCACTTCCATCACCCATTACCTTGCCATTGTTGCAATATCTATACGCGTTGCACAATCCCTACCATATCTTCCTGAGGAAGCGGACTGGAATCTCAATCAGAATCAAACAGCGACACACCCTCTCGACTACTCGGGTCAGTGGGATGGCCACATTTATAACCCCTCACCAGAGAATTGGCGGTTCCCATTTTACACGATATTCCTCGACAGATTTGTAAATGGTGACCCGAGTAACGACAATGCAAACGGGACACAGTGGGAACATATCTTGACCTCCAACGAGTTCCGCCATGGTGGTGACGTTCTTGGGTTGGTGGATACGTTTGATTATCTACAGGGAATGGGGATCAAGGTGCGTTTGTTGCTCCAGGAAGGCTGGATGTAAAGAATATATTGACCATGTCTAGGGTGTCTATCTCGCCGGAACACCATATATCAACTTCCCCTGGGCTGCGGACGGATACTCCCCGCTTGACCTAACTCTGCTGGACCATCACTTTGGTACGATCGAGGACTGGCGCACAATGATATCGGAAGCACATCGAAGAGGGCTTTATGTTCTTTTTGATAATACCTTTGCAACGTATGTGGTGTCAATCTGCGCAAACTCTGATATCTTATGCTGATTCTGGATAGAATGGGCGACCTTATCGGTTTCCAAGGTTTCTTGAACCAGTCCGCGCCGATCAATCCCAACGAGTACGACTATGTATGGAAGTACGACCGTCAATACTGGGATTTCCGGCCTGGGAATGAAGTTGAGAGTGAATGTCCCTGGGAGTATCCTCGGTTTTGGGATGATGACGGGACCGGGTTGACCACCACAACCCTTGGCCCTTCATGTCGGAACAGTGAATTTGACCAGGTAATATTCCCTTCCTTTTAAATTGGTCACGACTGACCTCTTCAGTATGGAGAAGTTGCTGCGTTTGGAAATTACACCGAATGGGAAGGGCAGATATCCAAATTCGCATTTGTGCAGGACCGTCTTCGCGCATGGCGACCAGACGTACTAGCCAAGATCAAACACTTTTCGTGTCTTACAATCACCATGCTTGATATCGATGGATACCGCGTTGACAAGGCTTTACAAGCTACCCTTGACTCTCTTGGAGAATGGTCCGAACACATGCGCGACTGCGCCAAGCAGGTGGGAAAGGACAATTTCTACATTCCCGGAGAAATAGTGGCGGGTAACTCCTTTGGCTCGCTTTACATCGGTCGTGGTCGCCAGACAAACCAAACCATCTCCAATATGACGGAAGCGTTTATGATGACGAACAAGACAGACAAGTCAGATGAGGATCTCTTCTTGAGACCTGCGCAGAGGTCCGCGTTGGACGGCTCGGCGTTCCACTACACATTATATCGTGGCCTGAGCCGGTTTCTAGGGTTCATTGCCCCCTCACCACATTAGTTTCATTCAAGCTAACATCACCCATTCAGTCTAGATGGTACCTACACTGCCGAAGGCGACCCGCCAGTGAATTTTGTGGAGACCTGGAATGGTCTTGTGGAAACCAATGACATGGTCAACACGAACACCGGCAAGTTCGATCCTCGTCACCTGTTTGGTGTTACAAATCAGGATGTCTTTAGGTGGCCAGGGATCAAGAACGGGACCGAAAAGCAGAATCTGGGTCTGTACGTCGCTTCATTGCTTATGCCCGGGATTCCCATCCTGTCCTGGGGCGAGGAACAGGATTTCTACGTCCTAGAGAACCAGGCGGACAACTATATCTTCGGTCGTGGACCCATGTCATCTGCTCAGGCATGGCAGCTGCACGGATGCTACAAGTTGGGGTCATCGAAATACGTTGATCTCCCGCTCGACCGCTCTTTAACTGGATGCGAAGATGACTCAGTCAGTCTGGATCACCGCGACCCTTCTCACCCAGTGCGAGGCCTCATTAAGATGATGTTTGAGATGCGTCAAAACTATCCTGTTCTAAACGATGGCTGGTACCTGCAGCAATTGTCCAAACAGACGTTTGACATTTACCTTCCAGGAAGTAATGGCACACCAACCGAGACTGGGATGTGGAGTGTCATGAGATCACGCTTCGTGGATGCGCAGAATTTCGATGGCGAAGGCCAGGGCAATCAGAGCGTCTGGCTGGTGTATTCTAATGACAATAAAACAGTCGACCATCAGTTTAACTGCAGCAGTAAAAACGCTTTGATCTCGCCATTTCCCTCGGGAACTACGGTCAAAAACCTCTTTCCGCCGTTTGAGGAAATTACCCTCGCCAACAGCTCGATTGCGCTTAGGTACGTTTGCTGTTCCCAATCTGATTCGCATTATTGACAATGGGCAGATTTGAAGGGTCTGACGTTCCGAACGGATGTTATCCCAACCTTACTATGCCGGCTTGGGGTTTCAAAGCCTTTGTTCCGAAAAATAAATTTGTACAGCCTTCGCCATATATCACACGCTTCTCCCCAGGGCATGACGCTCGACTTGTGCCCCGGGGAACAAGGGGGGAGACGGTACGAATTGGTTTCGAGTTCTCTCAGGAGATGGACTGCAGGGATATCACAAATTCTCTGACGATCACATCCAAAGCCCTTCACGACGAGAGCCCGCAGCTTGACACTACCTCGGTCTCTTGTAAATCTATCGAGGAGACCGTTGTTGCGACATGGCCCGGGGCACTTAATGGCGTTTTCAGATACGAGGCAGATTTGAGCAATGTCTTTCCAGGAGTTCACAGGGTCACACTTAACAACGTGACCACAGCAGACGGAAATCAATCTACAGGTGTGAGTATATTCTGGCTATGAGGGTCTAGAAAGTCACAATGCTAATTGAATCCGGCAGTCTGTCGACCACTTCCTTCTCCGTATCGGACAGATGAACAATCCGATGGTTTGGCCACAGTCGGCCAACTACAGTAGAACGCTACTGTTCGATAACCCGTCGTCTGAGACTGAGCCCTTATCAATTGCGCCACAAGCCCCTGGTGCGGACATGTGGCGATACTCGCTGGACTTTGGGGCCACCTTCAGTGCCTGGATGACATACACCGGCTTGAACGTGTCGATTCCCGGCAAAAACTGGACCGGCACTGCGAAACAGGCTTGGGAAGGAGAACATGTCCTTACCCAATACTGGAGCAAGCTAACCGGAAGTAGTGCTCACTGGCAACATGGCGACACGCAGTGGGCATACAAGCCCCCACGTCGCTTCCCAAATCTTTTCATCGAAGGCGAGTTCAACCAGTTCGGATATGACGCTGGCTATTCCAACAAAATGGCTCTTAGCAACGTCACTGGCTTGTGGGAAATTCACTTCATGGGCGAATGGCCCGTGCAAGTTGCATTCAACGCTTGGGGTTTAAATGAAGACGGCATACCCGATCAAACACAGGTATTTGGGGACGTCGATGGAGACAATGTCCTGGATCAGGTCCCACCAGTCACTCTGCTGAGCAATGTGTTCAATGTCACCATCCCACCCCCATCGCCCTACCTTTCCTTCAAGCTGTCGGTAGATGACAGCAATCTCAAGGTCTACGCTACGCCCACAGGATCCAGGTGGGTTCAGCTGGCGATCTTTATCGTGCTAGCGATTGTGCCCGTCGCCACTGCTGTCGGTGCGGTGTATGTGTACCTGAAGGCATTTTACCAGGTCAAATTCAACCAAATCGGAGTCACCGAGAAAAGATCAAGTTTTCTTCCACTGGCGGGCGTCATTCAAAAGATAGCTCATCGATCTAACGACGGGGAATCTCACCCCGAACTTGCTCTAACCACCGTGGGCCGTTTCCAACCTGAAAGCGGAGGCGTCGTCGGTGCCACGGTAAATCCCCGCCGACGAACAGTACTCATTGCAACGATGGAATACGATATTGAAGACTGGGGCATTAAGATCAAAATCGGCGGGCTTGGTGTGATGGCCCAGCTGATGGGGAAACATCTGACCCATCAGGATCTCATATGGGTGGTCCCTTGCGTAGGAGGAGTTGACTACCCAAAGGATGATCCCGTTGAGCCGATCGTGATTACCGTTCTTGGGAATAACTACCAAGTGGATGTCCAGTATCATCGGCTGCAAAACATCACGTACGTCTTGCTAGACGCACCCGTGTTCCGAGCCCAGTCAAAATCAGAGCCGTACCCTGCCCGCATGGATGATCTGAATTCGGCTATATTCTATTCTAGTTGGAATCAATGCATTGCTGAAGCAATCAGAAGATTTCCGGCTATCGACCTCTATCACATCAATGATTACCATGGCGCCGCTGCACCTCTCTATCTACTACCTCGCACGATTCCATGCTGCTTGTCGCTGCACAATGCTGAATTCCAAGGACTCTGGCCAATGAAAACACTACAGCAAAATCAAGAGGTTTGCAGTGTCTATAACCTTGACCAAACATTGGTGAAGAAGTATGTGCAATTCGGCGAGGTCTTTAACCTTCTTCATGGAGCTGCCAACTATCTAAAGATCCACCAAAACGGATTTGGGGCTGTCGGTGTCTCCAAGAAATATGGCAAGAGATCTTACGCCAGATATCCTATTTTTTGGGGTCTCAAGAACATTGGGGCACTTCCAAATCCAGATCCATCTGACATCGCCGAGTGGGATCATAACGCAAAGAACATTCTCGAAGACGTTATCATCGATGCAGAGTTTGAAGCCAGTCGTGTCACACTAAAGAGACAGGCGCAAGAATGGGCGGGGCTAGAAGTTGACCCAGAGGCCCAGCTGTTTGTATTCGTTGGTCGTTGGTCCATGCAAAAGGGCATTGATCTGATTGCAGACATCTTCCCCTCCATTCTAGACACTCACCCAACGGTCCAGTTGATGTGCATTGGTCCAGTCATTGATCTCTATGGAAGATTTGCCGCGCTGAAACTTAACCGACTCACAGAGCTCTATCCGGGGCGGGTCTATTCCAAACCAGAGTTCACTGCACTGCCGCCCTTTATTTTCAGCGGCGCGGAATTCGCCTTGATTCCTTCGCGTGACGAACCGTTCGGTCTGGTGGCCGTAGAATTCGGAAGAAAAGGAGCTTTAGGCGTGGGCTCACGGTAAGACTAGCCCGGCTTAAATCTACCACCAGTGCTAACCTATATTTCTTTAGTGTCGGTGGTCTTGGGCAGATGCCGGGATGGTGGTACACAATGTAAGACTTCTTCTCTCCCGATATGTTCAAACTAACCCACTCTAGTGAGTCTATGACAACCAAACATCTTATCCAACAGTTCAAGATGGCCATCAATGACGCTCTGAAATCGTCGCAGGAGACACGAGCGCTCATGCGTGCACGATCCGGGAAGCAGCGCTTTCCCGTAGCACAATGGGTTGAGGATCTAGAAATTCTACAAACCACCTCAATTGAAAAGCACGCCAGGTATTCTAAACGTCACGATCGCAGTTCATGGAGAATTTCCCGTGGCAGCACCCTTGTGCCAGAAAGCATTCGCAAAGTCTCGTCAAGCTCAAACAACAGCCGCGAGCATAGCCGATCACGCAGCTCCTTGTCTGTCTCGCCGAGCAGACCGATCACAGCTGATATAAGACTGTCTGGACCTCGACCAGGCCTTGAGCACTTTCTTTCGCCGACAAATTTGTCTTCTAATCTCAACATGTCCGACAACGAGCTCGACTCTGACACAGACCTAAGACGCAGACCCTTGTCCTCCAACCTTCTCGCAGACTCGCGGATTGTCTACTCTTCGGTCAGCGACGGAGAAGATCTTGACCCTATTTCTGGGGCCGTCCAAGAGGACAGTAGTGCTCGTCCATCGCCATATGGGACACCTACTGTCTATTTTGCGCGATCCGGCGCCAGCACACCCGTTCTCGGTTCGGGGCCAGAAGACGGTTTGCTGGGCCGCAGAGACGCAAGAGAGTCCACGATGAGCTTGGTCAGTGTCGATGGAATAATAAAGGAAAAACAAGACTATAACCTTCAGAAAGTTGATCCATTTTTCACGGATGCGAACAACGAGTATGCGGATAAATTTGTGAAGAGGCTTGGGGATTTGAATGGCAAGAACTCCGAAGACAAGCTCTGTATCGAGGAGTTCCTCGAGAAGAGTGAAAAGGACTGGTTCAATCGATATCGCGAAGTCAAACTGGGCAAGTCTCCCTTGCCGTCTCCTGCTGCTTCTGTCTTTCGCTTCAAGGTTCATGAAAGCGGCCGGTCGGAGACCCCACCAATCATTGGTCCAGTTGCAGACTCAAATGCCGAGCAATTCCTTCTCCCTAATGACTATGTTCCCCCAACAGGTTTGAAGCGTTTCATGTTGATGAAGCTGGGTGATTGGCCTGTATACTCCATCTTCCTCGCTATCGTGAGTTCGAACCCTAGTGAAACTTTGATTGCAGAGGTTGACAGCATTCTTCCAGGGCCAAATTCTCGCCTTGAACTCGTACCAGATCACACTCCTGAACGGTGAGATTGGAGAGACGGCGGAAAAGCTATACATCCTAGCATCAATCTATCTTGCGTCTTCGATCATATGGTGGCTGGTCTTCCGTCTAGTCCCCTCGGTTTATGTTTTGACACTTCCTTTCTTTGTACGTTCACGTTCGTCTATCTGGTTTACGAGGTTTCAAGCTAACCAGCGCAGATGTATGGGCTTGCCTTTCTGTTTGTCGGTCTTGCCGGTTCCATCCACAACAGCACAAATCAAACATGGCTACAAAACGTGGGAACCGGCTTGTACTCATTTGCTTCTTCGAGTGGTTCGCTTTTTTTCGCCCTCAATTTTGGAGATGAAGGTATGCTACAAACCTTATGGTGATTATGAATTATCTGACTTTCTTATCCAGGTGGAGCGCCTCTGAGGTCTTGGATTTATAGAGCCACTGTCATTCAGGGCACGCAGCAGTTGTTCATCAGCTTCCTTTGGTACTGGGGTAGCTGGATGGCAAATCTCAATCAAACCGGGAGCACGAAATACACCCTTGCCATGACCAATCCAGGCGCTTTGCTCGGGATCGGAGTCGGACTTGCCTGTCTTCTGTGGCTATTGGGAGCACTGGTGTTCTTTGGACTTCCTGCCTATTACAGACAAGCACCAGGCCAGGTACCAAAATTCTACCTATCGCTATTTCGCCGTCGCATCATTCTTGTATGTCTCTTCCCATTCTCCCTTGAGGTTGTTTGACTCTGACGCCGTATTTTACAGTGGTTTTTCTATATGGCGTTTATATCCAACTACTGGCTGTCGGCACCTTATGGACGAAATTGGCTCTACCTCTGGTCCAGCAAGCATGCACACGTGTGGCAAATCGTGCTCCTTGTGCTCTTCTTTTTCATTGTTGTCTGGGCGGCAGCTCTCTGGGTCTTTCACGTTTTTTCCAAGAGACACGCCTGGTTCATCCCGATCTTTGCCGTCGGTCTTGGTGCTCCTCGCTGGGCCCAGATCCTGTGGGCAACTTCCAATATAGGCGCGTACATCCCCTGGGCCGGTGGTCCTATGGCCGGAGCTATCCTCGGCAGAGCACTTTGGCTCTGGTTGGGAGTTTTGGATTCCCTTCAGGGTGTTGGTCAGTTCCCTCCCGCAGCGAATAAAACGTAACATGAACTGATCTAGGCCGATACAGGATTTGGAATGGTCCTTCTCCACACAATGACTCGATTTCATATCACCTTCACACTCCTAGCCACGCAGGTCGTCGGTTCTGTTGCGACAATCCTCGCCCGCGCGACAGCACCTGATAAGTTAGGCCCTGGTGATGTCTTCCCTGATTTCTCCGCTGGCATCGCAGTCGGCTTGGGAAAGGCAGATTTCTGGGTCTGCTTGCTCTTCATGCTTTCCATCAACGTGCTCTGCATTTTCTTCTATCGTAAGGAACAACTCGCGAAGCCTTGATCGCTGCTTCAACCTTGACTGGCGTTCTGTTTTCTTTTTCCTGTTTACATCCACTTTACATTGTGCGGCATAGGTTTTGCGATTAAAGGATTTATTATACTATTAATGGAATGCATTTACTTAGGGGCGATAGGCTTTACAAGGTAGACTTTGTAAAGGTCGTCACATGTAGATTGTGCATACTATTTTCTATCAAGGGGGTCCGATCGCGGGAAAACAATAATATGAAGCGGTCTAGTCTAGCCGACGCCAAAAGGACGAGGGTGATAGGTTAGTTACTAGGCCTTGGCCTGATTAGTAACTGTCATATTCTAAGGGTCCGTTTTAGGCCTAGTCACGGGAACTGTTTATTCCGGGCACTCTAATATCATAAGGTATTTATTACTACGATGATCCTAATTAATTTTGTAAACTGTGCTTACTCGGGTTATCATTCCTGCCACTCCTTTCAATCTAACACGACACTTGATCAATATTTCATTCCATTTTTTTTTTGGATTTCATTCTTTTATTCACCAGTTCTCCAACGCGTACAATGTATCGCCTTCTCTTCTTAGTCGTGGCCCTCTGCCTATACGCGCGCCTGACGGTCGCCGCTTCGACCTCGGGTGAAATTGCCAACTCTCTCAATGAACTAGCACAGCGAGGATTCGCCACCAAGAATCTTGTATTGGAAATCAACTCTACTGCGGACGCGGGTCCAGTCTGGGTGAGGGGGAGTTTCACGTCTTTTAGGTCTCGAATGTTGGCTCACAATACAATCCAGGCTATCTATACCGAGATGGACACAATGGTCGCTGTTGTTTTAACAGATGTAAAATTTATGACAAACACGGCGATCATTACCGACCAGGCGGAGGAGCAGAATGTCTATGAGGGATACTCAAATGTAGGTTGATGATAAAAGAGATCAACCTGAATTATTTTATATCTAATTACGCTAGTTCGTACAATCCCTTCTCGAGCTCATGGACGCCTTTTCGAGCTGCGCAGCGCAGCTGAAATCCATCGACCAAAATACCAAGACCAAAGTTCCCTCAGAAATTCGCATCTTGCAAAGCGCCGTCGACGTGAGTTTCCTGATTAATTCTTTGCTATAGCCCAAGTAGGTCGCCGATGTTTTGCTGACACTTCCGAAGGCCTACTTCTATAATATTATAGGCCTCTTCCCAGCCAACAGCTCGTATAACTCCCAGGCGAATATCCAAAAAGCCCAGGTAGATACACATTGCTTTCAGGCTGTGTGGGCATTTGATCTCGATTATAATAATGGTAATCAAGCTACTTATCAGAGAGGTGATAATAACTCCCTTCGTTTTCGAAGGATGAAGCGCGGTTCCTGATGATCTTAAATTTTATCTACCTTTGTCTATCACTTGATTGAATAGTGGAGTGTGATGAGGACTCTCCTAGAGTCTTTCGCTCTTGTCCTTTGAATCGTGGGAACGCTAGCTACTGCCTACTTATTAGCTTTTTGGCTTGCTAATCTTCTATTCCTTTTTCTTCTTCTTCTTCTTCTTCTTCTTCTTCTTCTTCTTCTTCTTCTTCTTCTCTAATATAAATAGCTTTCTCTAAATACCTCTCTCTACTTTGTGTTGGTTTATAGATTATAAGTCTAGGATATTAATTAATTAGTTACTTAATTGACTGATTTATTCTATCATGAAAAAATAGAGATATCTATTAAAAAGATAAAGCACTTATCATATGGAAAATCAGATTATCTACGTACTTAAATATAAATTATGGGTAAATCTTAGACTTCTGTCCGATACTCCGGATAATGTAGTGTTTTATATGTTTTATTCTCCTAAAGTAATTAGTCGGCTCACTCCCTATAAAGAATATACTACTTATAGAGTAGAAAGCTTATTAACTAGGTAGGAGAGTAGAGCACTAAATCTAATTATAATATAGACTATTCTCAAGGAGTTATGATATTAGGACGTTATTGCCTATCTATATATACCGCTATAATACGAAGTTGTTTCTATAAAACACTTAAGATTAGATCTTTTGGCTAAATATAATAAAGTATAAGCAGCAGCACCTTAGATCTCAGAATTATAAGCCTACTCCTTAAGTATTAATTTAGATATAGCCTCCTTTTTATAGATAGGAAATAAATAAGACCTAAGAAGAATTAAAAGGAAAATAAGATATAGAGGAGTTAACCTATCCCCTCATCTATCCGCTAGTCATAGTTAGTATAAATATTAAAGTAAAGGGTATTAACTAATTAATAAATATACTTTAAAGCTAGATAGGTTATTAACTATAGAAGCTCTTCTATCTACTAAGTTAATAACATCATAATATTTCTAATAAAGCTATTATAGTAATTTCGGAGGGTATAATCCAGGAAGGGTTAAAGGATATATAAAGTTCTATTTATTAGCTACTATAGGACTTATCAGCCTATGTGAGCGTGTGTGGCTATATGAAGTTGGTTAACCGTGCGGCCCGCTGGCTAACGGCCCGGACCGGACCATCGTTTTTCCTATCCTTTCTCCGGGGAAAAGCCATGTCTCTTTAACAGAGAGTTTTATATGAGAAATCGGCTAATCTAGCCACGGATACTAATATCCAATAACTTCCTAATCTATCGATTTATCAGATTATTAATATATAATCGGATTATCGATTAGATTAACGATTTAGTCTAGATTTAACTATCTAAACTATCCTAATTATATATTTAAATATCTATTCGTTCACTAGTTTAGTAGTTTAGATTTAATATCTGTTGGAAATGGTAGTTAGGTTTTCTTTAGAAGTGGTGTTTCCCGATGGAAAGGGTCTTCGGCAGAAAACAGGTGGAAAGGTCTAATGCACACACACAACAAAGAGGTATGCAAAAGATAGGATTGAAGAGAGACGGTTCATGAGAAGGCACGTAGTCAGCTTGATTGACAAAGAAGAAGGGTTATGTCAAGTATGCTCGAGAGCAGTTCTCATGTCATGAAGAGATGTCAAACTTGATCCAATTTAGTTAGAAAACATGGTGATACTTATATCGCGGGGTACACGGCAGAATGACAAATAAAATAGAAGGAACATCCTTGGAGTGTTGAGTAGTCTCCTGCCTAGGTAGGCTATTGCATGTAAGTGTATGCAATTGTATGTAAGATCGTTGAGGATCAATCTGATCGATCTCGTCGTCCGACGAGGAGGTTAAGTCATCCAATGAGGGGTAAGAAAAGTGGGTCCTTAGTCGCATCTCGACCGCATAAAGGGAAAGCCCCGCATTTGCCATTTAGATGCATTTCAATTCATTATGCATCTACTATATATGCTGACAATATCCTTAGAGACTTAATATCCTTTCCTTTAGAATTAATACTCTCTTTAATCTATCTTATTAATCTCGTTTAACCCTTTTATACTTAGAGAAGATCTTATATATTAGAGAACCCTTAACGATCTATAGTCCTATTCGTAAGAAAGAACTTCTATCTTAACTAGTTATCCTAAAGGTCCTATATAGATCCTATCCTATTAGACCCGATCGGATATACTAGGATTCCCCGATAGTTATAAGCTCGATCGCTCTAACTAAATAGATATAAAGAATCGGAAGGCTTCGTTCGGCTAAACCTAATTAGCTAGGCCTTAACCGATCGGATCGTATCTATTAATTCTTACTTTTAATTAACCGGAAGGCTTTATTCGGCTAAACCTAATTAGCTAGACCTTAACTAGTTAAATTAATCTTCACTCTCTATCGAGATATCTTTTACTTTCGTCTTACTCTTTATCGAAAATTATTATAGTAATAGAAACTAACTAGCTAGTCTTTTATCTTAAGACCTCTACCGACTAGATCTAATAGTATATAGCTTTTAAAGACTAAGCGGTTACGTAGGGACTATAGGATTATTTTAATCCTAAGGTACTAATCGAAAGCCTTTAGAAGCCCTAACTAGAACCTAACTATCCTAAAATTAATATAGCGGATCTTCCTAATCTAACCGGAGACGTACTTATAAGATATAATCTTATCTCTCGCGAGTATAATCGTTAGCTAGCTCGCTTCTGTTACTATTAAAAGGGAGTTAATCGTCTATAATAAGGAATTCGTAATTTAGTATTAATTGATAATAAGCGATTAATCCTATCTTAGATAACTCTACGTAACGTAATCGATATATTTCGGCTAATATATACGCCTACCGATTTATCTCGGAAACGCTAGATCTCGAAAACTTAGTCTAATCTACGTATATAAACGCCGTCTAGATCTAATTTCGATTTATAGGTCTAGAAGTAGCTAGTATACTATATAAAAGCTAAAGAAATCGGCCTAGCTAAATTTAACGATACTAAGAGGATCTTATATAAATTCTTAGAGGCTATTATACCTCTATCGCCTAGCTTCTATATAATTTAGATAAATTATATTTATAAGTAAAGCGGTATCTATTTAGCTAATAAACTACTAGAGTTTCCCGCCCTTATTAATCTCTATTCGGAATCGATTCGGCTATCCCCGCTAATCTACTAGGATAGATTCGCTTATAGAACGACCTTCTAGGGTAGAAATCCTAATAGAACTAAGGCGGAAGGGGCTAATAGCGGTAATTCGCCTATTAATTATAATTAATCTAGTTAATCTAGAAGATCTCGTAGCTAGAAGCGCCCTTATCTATATAAAAGTAGCTTAGACGATAGCTATTATTAATTCGATAGATATATATATATATATTAATCTATCGATTAGATCGCCTAATTAGAAGCTAGATCCTATGTTAGCATGTATGGTAGATATATGCTGAATTGAAATACATCTAAATGGTAAATACGGGGCTTTCCCTTTGTGCGGTCGAGATACGACTAAGGACCCACTTTTCTTACCCCTCATTGGATGACTTAACCTCCTCGTCGGACGACGAGATCGATTAGATTGATCCTTAACGATCTTATATATAATTGTATACACTTACATATAATAGCCTACCTAGGTAGGAGACTACTTAACACTCTAAGGATGTTCCTTCTATTTTATTTGTTATTCTGCCGTGTACCCCGCGATATAAGTATCACTATGTTTTCTAACTAAATTGAATCAAGTTTGACATCTCTTTATAATATAAGAACTACTCTCGAGTATACTTAATATAACCCTTCTTCTTTATTAATTAAGCTAACTACTTACCTTCTTATAAACCGTCTCTCTTTAATCCTATCTTTTGTATACCTCTTTGTTATATATGTGTATTAGATCTTTCCACCTATTTTCTATCGAAGACCCTTTCTATCGGGAAATACTACTTCTAAAGAAAACCTACCTCCTATTCCTAATAATTATAAGCCCGAGCCTCTAACTACTCACTTATTTTATCTAATCTATTACTTTACTCTTATAAGCGATAGATTAGACCGAACTGCGAGCTATATAGCTACACTACCTACTTAAAAGCCACGTACACTAGGTACCCTAGATTACTACTATTAAGGACTATATAGTAGCTAATAGTGTATAGAAATATATAGATCCCGACCGGGAGACTCCTACGGCTACGCCACCGGAGCCTATTAAGCCACTT